TAGTTATCAGGCTCCTCTCCTGTGGAACCAACTACCAGTTTTAGGCAGGTTCAAAGTTAGCTTAGCACATACCTTACATTAAAAGTGTAATACTGTTATTTTTATGATAAAACTTTCCCCAGAGGTCCTGCCATGTCATTTTGAAGGATAAATAGTTAAAGGAAAACCTATTGACCTAAAGGTGTAATAGAATAGCATAAATAGGGCAAACAGCCTTACCAAGGTCTGATATGGTGTGACTGCTGGCATAAAAAGGCAGTTCAACAGGCTCCTGGTAGTCAGTGTGGGGGACTCTGCGAAAAGACAGCCGGAATCCCTCGACTTTCCCCGGCTTCCCTGGGAGCTCCCACAGGACTTGGACGGTGGTGGAGTTCAGCACCTTGGTGAAGTAAGTGGGTGGGGAGGGTACTGGATAAACAGAGAAAAGTCAGAGCAAAATCAAAATCCCAAAGTGGCCTTAAAGGAGGTTGTGATTATATGTTTAGTGCAGCAGGAAAAATATATCATTCTGAGGTAAAATCAACAAGAGTCATTGTATAGGAACCTCTGCTGCAATTCATTTCTTTCTTCTAAACACTTTTTCCCATCAGTCACTGCTGGTTGCAAGAGAAACCTGTTTGCTCACCAGGGCTGGGCAATTAATTGCATTTGCAATATAATCGCAATTTAAAAAATGCTATTTTTCAAACCGCAGAGTCAGTCACAATACATTTAAGAGTAAGGGACTAATTTTCTCATTCCAGCCCTTTAGGTGGCAGTAATACAATTCAACTGTGTATGCTGCCGCCAAGAAGGTAAGACAGAGTTGTAGCCACTAATCTCTATTTGTTCATTCGGTTGCTCACAGACCGAAAAAACTGAAATCACCTTCAGCCATCTTGGTACTCCCCACTTTCACAGAGACCTGCCATAAAATGCCTTCAATGTCATGTAATTACCATAACAATGTTATCAGTACATTTATATTCCGTGTACATCATCAATTTAGCACTTTTGGCCCATCATCAGATCGTGTTTTTGTGTGTGTAATATTGTGCTCCATTAACACACTGATTTTGTTGTGATGGATTTGTTTAATATGTGATATTACATGATTTATAGACTTCACAGACATACTAAATATGCAATATGATTTTTTACAATAACTTAAGTAGTCTACAGGTGCTATCAAACAGCGTGTGTCAAAATTATGAATTTATCTTTATTTTAAAAGCATTAAGCTGCCCTTAAAATGAGATCGTTGTTGATGCTGTAGTGCACTTATTGTTAACATTCTGACCGGTCTAACTAGGGAGTACCAATAAGGCGGCTGGTGACTTCATAGTAATGTGTACTTCCAATGGCCTATCAGCAATCCATTTAATAAATAGATATTAGTGGTTGTAGCTAGCACCTAGATTAATGCATTTAGTAGAAGTAAGAACTTGTTTATGCAAATTTCACTGTAAAGTCTTTCAACACTGAACTCTGGACAAACAGGAGTTCAAGCTTATGGAAAAACTGAAACCCTGGAGTCAAACATCGACATAGTTGTGCTCAAAGGATTATTGCATAACATCGCAATATTGGTCGAAAATAATCACATTTTTGTCAGTTTTATTGCTCACATGGATTCATAGGAGCAACTTTTTCTAGGATTTTTTAAATGAATCTTTAAAATTTCTGTCATAGAGAGCAAAGCCTGCTCCTACTTAAGACTTTAACATGTTTTGAAATAATAAGATAATATTGTCTTGCAGACTAGCTCAGGGTGAATAT